GAAAGAGCCAGGTGTATATACATATATATTCATACAGGCATGCATGTGCATGTGTGTTTTTGTGTATGCATGTGTGTGAGTGTGCGTGTGTGTGCGCGCGTGCTTGTGTGTGTGTGCGCGTGCTTGTGCGCGTGTGCGCGCGCGTGCTTGTGTGTGTCCGCGCGTGCTTGTGAGTGTATGTTTGTGTGCGTACATGTGGGCATCCGTTCATGTGCGTGTGTCCACTTACTGAATACCAATACTAAATGGAGCAGAACCCACGCCACGCCAGATAACAACACAAACCCCCCCCCCCCCCCCCGCAATCCCTCTCCGCCGACGAGTGCACCGCTCGCCCTCGCCGACGCCTGCGCTGCGGCCTCCCTGCTCTTACCTGAGGAGCGATTCGGCGAGGACTGGAGACTCGGATTTTTTTTAACCTTATATATCCGGACTTCGTGTGTTTTCGTGGCCGGCGAGGCGAGGCGGTTGAATCACGGCATGTCCTCGTGCTCTGCGCCTCCCTCCCCTCCCTCTTGCTTCCTCTCCTCCCTCCTCCTCTTGCTTCCTCTCCTCCCTCCTCCTTCCCTCTTGCTTCCTCTCCTCCCTCCTCCCTCCCTTCTCTTGCTTCTCTTCCTCCCTCCCCTCCCTCTTGCTTCATCCCCTCCCTCCTCCTTCCTCTCCTGTCCATCCTCTCTCTCCTTCCTCCCTCCCCTCCGCTCTCCTCTTACTCCCTCCCTCCCGGCATGCTCCTCCTCCTCCTCTTCGTCTTACTCCCTCTTTCCTCTTCTCTTACTCCACCTCTTCTTTCTTCCTCTTCTCTTTCCCCCTCCCTACCTCCTCCTTCCTCCCTGTCCCCCTCCACCCCCCCTGCCTTCATCCCCCCCACCCAGTCTTTTCATCTCCTTGCACCTTGTCAGTCCCCCCCCTCCCCCCCTCTTCCTCTCTTTCTGTCTCCCCCCCTCCCAGTGCCGTTCTATCTGCCTACCACGCCCAATGTTTCCTCTGTTTATCTGTCTGTATAATCTCTCTCTCTCTCTCTCTCTCTCTCTCTCTCTCTCTCTCTCTCTCTCTCTCTCTCTCTCTCTCTCTCTCATCTCTCTTTGTCTCCATCTCTCTCTAATCTCCTCTCTCTCACACTCACATTAATATTCTACGTGATTGTGTGTGTGTGTGTGTGTGTGTGTGTGTGTGTGTGTGTGTGTGTGTGTGTGTGTGTGTGTGTGTGCACGTGCGTGTGTAGGTGTGTCTATTCATTTTCCTTCCTCCATATTTTTTCCAATCATTACCCCAATTCGTCCCATTTTGTCGTGACAAGTTCCTGACACCTGTGTGACGTCACTGCTAGTGGGCGGGGCATCACGGCCGGGTGGGGACCTTCTCGCTTGCACTGTTACAGATTTTTTTTTCTTCTATTATACTCCAGAAAGGGCATTTAAGTACACCACAGATATTTATCTACTATCATTTACTGTCATGTGAAGTATTTCTATCATGTTCACGGTGATGCAGACACAGATATATACACACCCAAGCAGACAGACGCATACATATGCATGCGTTTTGTGTGTGTATGTGTGTATGTGTGTATGTGTGTATGCGTATGCGTATGTGTATGTGTTATATATCATTCATAATATATATATATATATATATATATATATATATATATATATATATATATATATAATATATAATATATATATATATATATATATATATATATAAATATATATGTGTACATGTGTACATACTGTATATATATGTATATAAATTTATATAGCTATCTATCTATCTATTTATGAAAATTAAACCGGTTTAGCTTAAGTTTATCATGCATATTATGACAGGTATAGATATTGAAGTGTTTCCATATTTAACGTTAATCATCACTAATCTCAAAGTTCAAATGTTTTCAAAAGTTTGTTGTTCTTTGCCAGAGTGACGACAGACACGGAGGCCGCAACGGTGGCTCTACACTTGAGTACTTTATTTCCAGTCAGTATCGTAGCTTCATTACTTCCAAGGTCTGTCACTGCTATTTGTATCCGTCGATGATGTGTTACTATTTGAGTCACAATTACCGAAGCTTTGAGCGAGACTTGGTTCGGATCACCAGGAAGATTACGAAACGTGAGAGAATGAATATGAACGTTTCAAAAGACCGTTTCAAAATTGTGATTTGAACCATTTGTATTGCACGTCAGCCAAGCGATAAGGAATCACAAGAGGGACCGCTAATTTGTTCATATTTGTCCATAGTCATTTTTTGGGGTAATTTTTCAGTTACACACCGCCATCCAATCTTCCAACCATTATTCGTCTTTCTCCTCCTCATCATCAATATCATCATTATCATCAGCATCAGCACTATCATTAACAACATTTTTATCATCATCATTTTTATCATCATCCTCATTATCATTATCATCATCACTATCATTAACATCATCACTATCATTATCATCATCATCACTATCATTATCATCACTTTCATTATAATCATTATCATCCTCATCCTCGTCATCATCATCCTCATAATCATCATTATTGTTATCATTATTATTGTTGTTTATATTACCATTATTGTTATTATTATCATTATCATCTGTCTGCCTATCTATATATTTATCTATACATCACCCACTCTCCCCGCCTCTCTTTCTCCCTATCACATCCCTCCGTAATTCTATAAACCGAATTTATATTAAGAATAAACTGCAAGCCTTTTGTATATTCTCTGTGATGGCACGAAAAATCGGATGGCGTGTAGTGTATAAAAACTATTGGTTAACGTATTCACTATGTATGTGTAGTTGGGTGTACATGCAAGTTTTATTTTTTTTTTTTTCTTGTTTATTTTTGTTTTATTTTATCTGTTTTTTGTTATTTTTTTTTTTATTCTGTCTATTCAGCGGGGAAGAACAGGAAAAATTTATAGAAAGAGGAAGCATGGTTTTGAAACGGATAAGGAATCAACTTTAGAGAAAAGCATAATGTGGATTTCTTTCTTTCTTTCTTTCTTTCTTTCTTTTAGGTGTATTTTCTTGGGGGGGGGGGGGGAGGGGTATCTTTCCAATCTTTAATTCCGACGAAAATCATGTGATTAGGAGAGTCTTAAGATACTCAGAATGTCACGATGATTATTTTTTTTTTTCTTTTTTTTTTTTATGAAAGTGTAATAAAAGTAACTGAATAATCAACAGTGTCAAATGTGTTGTAAATTTGTATCTTCTTTTTGTACTATCACCTCACAGACTCCTCTTCTCTTGCTCCCATACCTTTCATTATCGTCATTTTCCTCTATTTCCTCTCCTGATTACTTGTCGGTCCCTTTTTTATTACCTGCCTTATGTCGAGCTTTCGTCAGCTGATAAATCTGTCTGCCTGTCACTGAATGTTTCTCTCACACGTTTTCTTCTTTATTACTTACAGATTCATCAGCCTTTCCTGTTTCTTTTGCCTGGTTTCTCTTTCTCTTGTTATTGTTTATTCATCAATTCATTTTTTTTTATCTTTTATCTTGTCTGTCTATTCTCATCTGTCTGTTCTATCATTATATGTCTGTCTATTTTCTATTTTATCTACCTATATATCTTTAAACATCCTTCTATCTATCTATCTATTTGTATCAGTCTAACTATCAGTTAATTTTACACATCTATTTGTTTCTAATCTTTGCATCATCTATAAATGCGGTCTTTTCGACATGAAATCGCACATATGCGTATGTGTGTGACAACTGTGTTAGCATACAATCTACAATTATTTGGCATTGTAGATGTTCCTGTTGTCCAGCCTCGGCACATTAGAGGCGAAAGAAGAATTATAAACAGAAAGAAATGAACCCGAACAACCT